AACTTTAATTTGAAGAAGAGCTGAAGAGAATCCCATTTTAGGCTTTCAGAAACAACCGATTAATCACTTATATATTAAAGTTAATTATAAAGTTCTCTGGTTTTGCTTTAAAGAGTTCATTGCAATAAATAACACATTTGCTTCTTTGTCTTTCTAGTGGTGAGAAGAAAGCTCTCTGGGAAGTTCCAGATAAATCAAAATTAACATAACTCAAAACTAGAAGAGTGGCTAGGGGACAATTTTATTCAGTTCCTAATCTCTCAGCGTTTATGACCAGCAAACATCCTGTTTCAGACAAAAAGTAAGCATGTCTTGTGCACCCACACATGTATGTAGAAGGACAGAGAGCTGATAGCTGTGGAATACTAGACTTAGCTACAGGGATGCTTACATGAACCCTGCTTAGCCCACACATGACCTCATTTCCCTAGACAATGTTCAACATCTACAGTGCATTTCATCACTTCACAGGGATTAGAACAACAACAGTATCTTCAGATAGAGTAGCTAGAAGCTTGGCTCTGCCACTCAGCTGAGCAATTCAGAGCATGATCCCTCAAACCCCCTGAGCACCAGTCTCTATGTACAATAGCCAAAATATGCCCACTTCTTATAGTGGTTGCAGAGGGATGAAAGAATAATGCTACTTCTCCGAGATTCTTTTATGATGCTCAGCCAAAAATTAAGAAATACCAATGTATAATGCCTGGATTTCTTATGAGGTGTTATGATGTTTAGATTTTTCACCAGACACAACCTAGAATCAGTTGGAAAGAGTGTTTTAAGGGATAGTCTTTGTTGGTTGGTTCATGGGTGGGCCTGTGGGTGATTGTCAAGAATTTGAGTACAGCTGATCTATATAAGGACCTGAACTCTAATCTGAGCTAGTAGGAAAAATAAAAAAGAAAGAACTGCGTAGCTCACCTCAGACGGGTTCTATTAACCTTAACCTTGGGGCCACTGGGGAGCTGCTAGAAACCTGCAAACTACAAACTTTTCCTTTCACTGGGAAAATTGGGAACAGACAAGGAACCCAGTTCTCAAGGAAAAAAAAAATATGAGACTCCAGGAAAACGCTTGCACCTCTCAGCCTCCATTGTGAGACTTATGCAGGACAATATTATGACACTCACTCTATAGCAGTGATTCTCAACCTTCTTAATGCTGTGTGATCCTTTAATATGGTTTCTCAATGTTGTGGTGATCTCAAACTATAAATTTTTCATTGCTATTTCATAACTACAATTGTACTACTGTTATAAGTCATAATGTAAATATCTGTGTTTTCTGATGGTTTTAGATGACCACTGTGAAAAAATAATTCAATCCTCCAAATGGGTCTCAACTCACAGGTTGAGAACCCCTGCTCTACAGCATTCTCAGAAGAATGTGGAGTCCATTCTTTCCTGGGTAAATGTTTCATTATTGGTTCCTGGCAGAAACCTCTTCACTAAGAACCCATTTGTTTATAATCTGAGGGAATCTTCTGACCTTTAAAGTTTGGGGACTTTACATTCAACAGTAACTCAGCACATTTACTCATGGTTAGGACTGCATAAATCTTCACTCTCTGACCTTGTCTTCTTGGCAAACAAGAAGTTTTTACTGTTTGGAGGAAAAATACAAGCTTCTTTGGAAATACCTTCAAAGTTAAAAAGTTCAGGGTCATGGCTTAGCATGTAGACAAAGTAACTTTTGTTTTAAATGTTTCCTTTTCTTTGTGTTTTGTAATGATTCGGCGGTCCCTGTGTAGCCTCGACTGGCCTTGATCTTTTTGTACTCTTTTCCATCTTCCAGTACTGGGATTACACCTGGCCTGAACATGTCTTTTAAATATGTCCCTTGTCCCTTGCTACTACCATGCTATTTCACATTTAAAATATTTGTATTAGCCAAATTAGAAAAAGAAACATAAGCTGGGCCTTGTTCCAAGAAGTCAAACATGAATAGCCCAGGGTAACCTCTACAACCAATTAATCATTTATGAAGTACCATTGAATCCACCTGAATAGGTAAACATCTCATTTTTAGATGTTTGTAGCATTTTATAAGATAGTGACACTCAGGGGGGCTTTTACTGTAGTAGTTTATCTCCCCTACTATAAAGGAAAATATTCTTGCATATTTTAATAAGAAAATTATCTGTTGTTGTTCTGATCTTTTATTTTATTTATTTTTATTTATTTATTTTTTGGTTTTTCGAGACAGAGTTTCTCTGTGTAGCTTTGCGCCTTTCCTGGATCTCGCTCTGTAGACCAACCAGGCTGGCCTCGAACTCACAAAGATCTGCCTGCCTCTGCCTCCCAAGTGCTGGGATTAAAGGCGTGCGCCGCTGCCGCCGCCGCCGCCGCCGCCGCCGCCACCACCACCACCTGGCCGTTGTTCTGATCTTTTACAGGTTCTTTTTTGTGACAGAAATTAAATAACAAAAATTCACATTTTTTTCCATTTACAGAATAAACCTTTATAGAAAAGATGTAAAAGAATGCTCAGATCTCAGTTGAACCTCACCTATTCTCCAATATTTTCTAAAAATGATAACCTTCATTGCCATCTTACTCAAACAGATGAAGCCAGCCAATAAACAAAGGCCTCTGTGTCTTCATTTCCCCTTTGCCCTTCACAGGTAAACACCTCAAACAAGTGTCTCCGAGACTTCTTAGATAAGTCAGTTCTCACTTCCTTTTGTTTTGATATCTTTTTTTTAATTAAGGAATTTTTATTCATTTTACATACCAGCCATAGATTCCTCTCTCTTCCCTCCTCCACTCCTCCAGCCTCTCCTTCTCCCAACCCACTCCCCATTCCCTCCTCCCACAAGATAAGGCCTCCCATGGGGAATCAGCAAGGCCTGTTCGATTCAGTAGAGGCAGGTCTAAGCCCCTCCCCCTGCATCAAGACTGTGCAAGGTGTCTCACCATAGGTAGTGAGCTCCAAAAAGCCAGCTCATGCACCAGAGATGAATCCTGATCCTATTGCCAGGGGACCCCTTGAGCAGATCAAGCTACACAACTGTCTCCATTATGTAGAGGGCCTAGTCTGGTCCCATGGAGGCTCCAAGGCTTTTGGTCTGAAGTTCATTAGTTCCTACTAGCTTGGTTTGGTTTTCTCTGTAGGTTTCCACATCAGGATCTTGATGAGCCTTGCTCATAGAATCCCTCTTCTCTCTCTTCTGCTGGACTCCTGGAGCTTAACCTGGCTCTTGGCTGTGGAGGTCCCAGACAATTCTCACTTTCTTAAACAGGGAGCTAAAAAGGATGCTCAGTGGAATAAAAATGTAAAGTAAGGGTGTTTAAGGGTGGAATTCTGTCTATGAGTAGTTTAGATCCACCTGGAATGGTAAGAAGGGTCCAGTTACACCTCAGCTATTGATATTCTTAAAAGAAGTTGTGATACTGGGAATCTTATGCACTGCGTTGATGACAAAATACTTTACAACCATCAGAAAAGCTGTATGTAAGTCATTGTTGGCATGCATTGCAAGATCTCATTTCTCTAGAACTTATCTGACGAAACTCCAGGAAACATTGTGCCTTAGTGTTCCCAGTGGCCGGTTCATTTGTGGAGACTGGAAAGCAGTAGACTGGGTCTTAATCATATCTTCTGTGCTATTCTTCATTCCCAAAATAGAAAATACTGGGAGGGACAGAAAATTACTATTGCACCTAGTATACTAGCAGCTGTCTCTATAACTATCCAGACAAGTCCAAAGACATGGTGCAGAACTGTAGGACCAGGGTCAGGATGAGAGAGAACAATGATGGCAGAAAGAAAGGAAATAAGAAATGGTTAGATCTGCTTCAGAGGAAAAGAAAAGTACTCAGCTAATTCCATTCTCCACACCTCCCTTTGACATTCACAGCACAGTTGGCTGCTCTGGTGGATTCTAGTCCTGTGCCTCCCTGGGGAGACTTGTGATTCTCTCTCTGTGCTCACTAGATTCTCATGGTTGGTGATATAAAACGTTTGTTGTACCCTGGCTGTGTGTGGAAAACAGGAGTCAGTTGCATGCATTTGCAGTTGTCCCTTCATCAGCTCATTAAGAGGGCAGGTGAACTGGATCTGTTAGCTGTGAGGAGAGTGTTGGAGCGGATGGAGAATCCCCTTTAAAGCTGTCCTAGGTCCCCCTGTAACAGCAGAATATTCTTTAGCTTTTATAACTGGAAACAGAATTCTGAATTTTAGAATTCCTGCTTTTAAGTCGTCATGACAATCTTCCAGACTTAAAGCTCATTAGGGTTTCTTCACATTTCCTCAAAGAAACAGAGAGAGAAGATAGTTCAAATTTTGAAGCCAAGTTTCTCACTGTCCTCCTCTGAGACCATTCAAAATACGTCTAGAGTTTTAAGACACAGTAACTTCCAAGGAGAGGAAAGCTACTGATTCAAAGCACACACACAAAAAAAAAAAAAAAAAAAGAAAGAAAGAAAAGAAAAGAAAGAAAGAAAAGAGCTTTGATGTCACTTCTTAAGTCAGAATTTAGGTTTTGTTTTGATTTGCTTATTTTGTTCGGTTTGAGATAGGACCTTGCTGGACTAGGCCATGGCTGGTCTAGAACTCACTATGTTGATTGACCAGGCTGGTCTTAAACTTGTGGGTCTCCTCTTGCCCGTCAAATGCTAGGATTTCTGATGTGCCACCACAGCCTGCAGTTCAGTCAGACTTCTCAGCACAAACATTTTCAACCTTTTCTTTGTAGCATTGCTGATAAGCTAGACACAATTGGCTTTTCTCAGACACATGTTTGAGGAGGCCCACTGGCTATCTCACCAGTATGGTACCTGGTGCTGTTTGCTGTAAGTTAGGATGGTAACCATGTTTATATTCACCGAAAATAAAAATGGCATATTAATGTCAACTCTCTGGTCTCAGATAAGATTTTAGATCCTCTCTCAAATTGGTTTTTCTAAGTAAATTCTTCAATTGTAGTTCTACTTTATATCCATTTGGTGTTATTTATAGAAATTGCCAGCACTTGCTTTTGCTTTTTCTCTTTCTAGAAGCTGACAATATAGTACCGTATACCATCAACTACTTACTGCTCACCAGTTTAACGTACCGAAACACTTACTGCTCAGAACTGATTGTTACTGTCTAATCTGAAGGTCAGTATTAGGAGAAAAATTATCACCTTTAGGTAAGTGAACAAACAGCCCAGGTCACTACACTCTTTGCCTTTGACAACCACAGCTGTTGTTCTCAACCTCAATAACTAACACGCAGTGGTTATTCTTTTGTATAGTCACATGCTGACCCAAAACCGAATAAAGAGATATTTGAACAGTTTTGTTTCATTAGCCTACAGTATGTTTTCTAAGGTCATCTGTGATAAGTAGCAGGGGCTGGCAACACATGGTGCTCCCTTATTTGAGTAACAGATACAATTCTTCATTCCTATTCTTGTTTACTTATTTAATAAATACATTCAATATACTTATTAAGCACTGACTCTAGACCAGGCACTGGGGGACACAGTGGAAAAAAAATCAAATATTGTCCTTGCTCTCAAGGAGCTAAGACGCTAGTGGGAAAGATCATTCCTTAAAGGGCTATATATTAATATCTACATAAATTCATATTAAAATTCAATAGAGTTATTTGGTCTTAACAGAATTTCTCCATGAATAATTTTATAAGGTAAAAATCTGACTAATATAGCTAGGAGTTGGGTCACATCCATTAGACTTGATTAAAACAAAGTGTATTTTCCTTCTTGAATGATAATTTTTATTTTCTACAAGCTTTCTGAACATAAGTATGATCCAGATCTACAGTTTTGCAGCACAGAACAGCAGGAGAGCATAGGCAAGTGGCTGCTACCTACCACTTATGAGTACGTGTGCTGATTATATGTATAGAGATGTAAAGTGAAACAAAAGACAGGCAGATAGACAATGAAGTCAATATTTTTTTTTTTTTTGCAACTGGGTCTTACTATGTAGCCTAAGCTGAAACTGAACTTGGCACCCTCCTGCCTCTGCCTCCTGAGTGCTGGATTATAGGCTTGTGCCCTATTCCTGCACTACATAGGATTTTCTGAAAAAGTGGGAGGATAGCACACAGGAGGAATGAGAGGCAGCCACTGGGGGCAGTGCCTTAAAAAGTTTCTAGGGCTTGGATCTTAAGGACAATTAGAGTTGATAAACAAAAGGAAGAGATAACAGAGAAAAAGAAACACATTCACAGGAAGCTACAGATCCATCTACACATAATTTTTTCCCTATACTTTGTTTGCTCCTCCTGTGGAAGTAAATCTTGGTGTACCCTTCTAGACATTGTTCTGGACCCTTAGTGGACTCCTGTTGGCCCTCATTGTAAAGAAGAGAGATGGTAGAAAGAAGGCACCATGTGATTTCAAAGCAGTAAAGAAGCTATATTCTACTGGGTGAAATTAAACTATCGACATACAAGACGGCAGAAAACTAGGAGGCAGAGATGAGCATCAGCATCCTGAGGATCATATCTCTGACGTCAACTCAAGAGCAAATACTAGGGTTGATGAGTCGGCTCAGCAGTGAAGTTGCTTGCCACCCACACCAACAACCTGAATTCCATCCTCAGAGCCCACGGATAGAAAGAATCAAATCCTAAAAGTTGCCTCTGGCCTCCACATGTTCACCGTGGGATGTGCATGCGCACAAACTAAATGAATGTAAAAAATAAAATAATAAATAAAAAAAATTTTAAAACAACAAACATTAGAAAAGTACATTAGGGCAAGAACCTTCAAGATCTTCTATCTTTCCCCAATTTCCTTCATGGTTTCAAGATGAAAACACATTGGCTGAAGAAAGAAAAGTGGCTATTCCTTTTGTTCTTGATGCCATTGACTTTTACTTACATTTTACTGTACCTTGTTTTAAACTTATAATTTTGAAAAGGTTCTTAAAAGTGATCCAACCCAGTCTCCTTGTTTTATAGCTTTGAATATTACAGGTCAGAGTAGTGAGGGAACCTATTCATGGTCATACATTTTAGGGAAAAAAAAACTAAGACAAAATGACAAGTCTTTTTTAATTACCCCCACGCCGGGGGTAGGGGGAGATTAGAAGGTGATTTAGAATTACTTATAGTGCATTTGATTTTGTTCTCTTAATTATATCTCAGTCTGTTTTCTTTGTAGAATGGAAATAGAAAGACTGTACAGACAAGTTATGAAGAATACACAGAGGAGTTCTAGAATTTTCACAGAAACACAGATGTGCGTTGCCTTTCTCTCCCTTAAAAAAAAAAGAAAAAAAGAAAAAACCCCACTCTTTCCAAGGGAGTGTGATAAAGATACTTTAAAGATGATGTATGAATTCAATCTGAAATAGTACTACTGCTGGAAGATTCGTGCAGGAGTGCACTGAAATCACACAGAAATGTGCACACAATAGAAGACTGATCTGATAGACTTTTAATTCTTTGTAATGTCTTAATGGTGCCAGTTAGATTAACAGTGGACACCACTACTGAGGACTCACTATGGAGCATATGTTGTGTTGAATTATGTTAATTTTCACCGAAATCCTAAAAGCACTGTACAGATGTCGACCAGGGACAGAGAAGTTAGGTTAGCCATGGGCCAGCAGCAAGCTGCTGTTGGGCAACAGCTGTCTCGGATTTTTAGCAGTCAGATTTATCCATGCGCATTACATACAGAGAGGTGATTTCTTTCTTTTAGTTTTTTTTAATTTATATATGTTTGTGTCTATGTGAATGAATGTCATGTGTCTTGGTACCTATAGAAACCAGAAGAGGTTGTCAGATCCCCTGGAACTGGAGTTAAGCAGGCAGTTAAGAAGTTTGAACTGAACTCAGGTCCTCTGGAAGAAGAGTGAGCACTTTTAACCATGAAGTCAATCAATCCAGCATCTGAGTTCTTCCATAACATTCACTCTAGCACAAATGCCTAGATGCTAATACAGCAGCTGTTCTCAGGAATCCAATGGTCAGTGTTACTAAATTTCATCAGGCAGGACCATAAACCTGAGTAATTTTAAAATTGATCAAAGGGCACAGAGGATGATTTCCTGAAAACATACACCTGCTGGGAGCTGAGTGTGTGTCCCTAAGGTCAGACTTAATTGCAGTTAGACCTAGATGAACTCTGACACGTTGATTAGTCACTGCTTGAAAGTGGGAGGTCAACATGGTGCATTTTCTTCCACCTCCAGAGTGGTTTTGAAAAGTCCCCATTGAGGACTCTCTTTTATGTAGATCTCTGGTATGTGAGTCCTGACCCCATCCCCAGGGCAGATCTTCTCACTGAGTGTACACCTGAATCTTCTAGAATCAGTGCAATAATGGAAGTGGAGAGCCCAACAAAGCCCCAAACAATATATTGGAGACATGTGGTCAAGAATTCTCACAACTGTTTTCTTCTACGGAATTTGTGGGAGGGGTGTAGGCCATCTTCAGAACTGATGGGAATACTAAGATAAATAAATTAATGGATCTGTAGATTTTTGTTGTTGTTTTACCTCATTAATTCTCACAGTGGTGAGAAAACACTTGTGAGAGTCAGTTTTCTCTTTCCACCATGTGGGGCCGGGGCTTGGACTCAGGCTGTCAGAAGTGGCCATAGGGGCCTATTACCTGCTGAGCCATTTTGCTGGTACTGACACAAATATAGTTCTTATACCCATTTTATTAAATAAATAATCAAAGCAGAACATGAAACAGAAAAATAATGAAAATGTTTCTTTAATATCATGCCAGAAAGTGTTATTTAAAACCCAGTTCTGCCTGATGCAGCCAGCATTCTGAGAGGATGGCCAAGCCAAGATCGTACAAGTAGGTTAGACATTAAGGGTACCCACTGGGAAGATTTGTATGCACAAATTGGATCCTAGGTTGAGAAGTGGAGAAAGGAAAGGATGCAGTGTGCCTGACATCTAAGATTGTAGGAGGGCTATGATTTGGATGGTGCAGGAGGCATAAGAAATCAAATCATTTTAGGGGTAGAATAAGGTAGAAAGAGAAATTCGAAGTATTTGAGGGGATGTTCTTTGAATTTGGAGCTGGACCAGGTGATGAAGCTAGACATAATCTGTGGATATGCAGCAGTAGGGAAACTAGGACCTGGAACACCAAAAACTAAAATGGAGCCAGGGAAGTGGAGAGGGTATAGTACTCTAGGAATACTGGAAGATTTTGTTCACGAAGGAAATACAGCAAACTGACCTCTAAAACACAGCAAGCTATATGTCTCCTGTGTACAGTGATGTCTTTGATAGAAACAGTTCTTAGATAACTTGATTTCACTCCATAGGCTTGTTAGAGCCTCTCTTATTTGTTAAGTTTGTGTGTGAATGAATACTTTGCTTCCCAAGTACTGCTGCGTGTCCACAGCAGGTGTTGCTGGATGCTCCAAGTTTTCACACTCTGATTCTGAACTGGTGCAGCATGGCAGGTCTGTCTGGCAGGAAACACAGCATTAGCTTTGGGATTCCAGTGAGGATGATGTAAAGTGAATGGCCACTGTGTCAAGACTGGAAAATGTAGGGTGGAAACGTGTTTTCAGGATGGGATGGAATCAATTAGAGAGACTAACACAGTGCAAGCCAAGTGTTGATTGTATTGAATGAAATGGAAAAAGACAAGCCTGTACTCTAAAAGGAAACAGAATGGGAAATGTGGACGAGATCTTCAAAGATAATAGTTCCCATTTGGCAACCTTCATCTTTCCGGATGCACTAAATGTTTCACTTAGGCATTACTGTGTAGCACAGCTCTGTGAGGAATGGAATGCTACCCTAGATGAGGATCTGGGCTATCCATTGCCTATGTGCTTGGGACTGAAGGATTCCTGGGACAGGCGACTTTGTGTGCTAATATGGAAGTATCTCAGACAAAACAGGACGTTTCAGTCTCTGAGAGTCTCTAAGGGTCATGATGTTTTAAGTAAAGGAGAAAAACCCAAGGTTCTCTCATGTTACTATCTGTGTCTTCCCAGACACTGCCTCCCTTTTTACAGATCCTAACCTTACCAATACCAATGTGTGTGCTTTCTATAAACCTAAACATGGAGATGACTTCATTTTCTCTTTCACTCTCTTGTTATGTTTACAGCTAGTATCTGTCTATGACCTAGCAGACTGACAGCATCTTTCAACACAGGAAACACATTTTCATGATAAAGCCTTTTGCATTTCATTATTTTGGTTATATTCTCAATAGTGAGTGGTAGGAAAGAACTTCCAAACAGGTTGTGTAGATAAGCAAATAACAGATAAAGAAAATGAAGTGAAAAACTTAAGTCCAGGTGTTCTGTACATAGGCCAAGCACAGTGATATTTGGGAACATCTGGAGAAGTGATTGAGATTTTAAATATTCATGTGTATGTCCAGTGTCATATAATCACAGGCCCAAGAACACATGGAAAGATGGGCATAATGGCATTTCACTAACTATGTAATTGCCACAAGGAACCTTTTCATAATGCTAATGTCTGTAGACAGAATGAAGACTCACCTTGCTGGCCTTCACTGTAACATCAATTATATTTTACAGCACATGGTTATTCTGTTCCAAGACTATATTTTGACCCAGATAACCATGTAGATATTATGGATTTTGAAAACGTTTGCTTTATAGCTTTAATTTGTGTTGGCTAAATGCAGTCAAAAAGAATGAGGGAATTTACTGGATTCCCCAGGTTTTCTTAAGTAAACAAACCAATATTATTGAAAATGTGTGAATCACATAATTCAAAATTTTAAATGATGTCACATTCTAACTAAATATAGTCTCTGTACTCAATTCACCCTGCAATCAGCACTCCACCCCCATTTGCCTGTTGTGTGAAGCAGCTGCTTTATCTACATTTTGCCAAGTAAACAGACTCTGTGCACTGTGCAATGGTGTTTGTTGTTTGCTAATATGCCAGTGGTTAAAAATGCTTACAAACTGTAATTATACATCTTCATATAATGCAGAGGTAGTATGTGGGTGTGCTTTATTACTTGGAGATACACACATATAAACTACACTTGTGTTTCATCTGGTTCATAGTAGTTATTCAATAAATGTTTTGTAAATGCCTTAAAAGCAGTGTGTATTTGTCAATGCCTTAAAATGTACTAGATGCTGAAGTAAGTGCATTCATGATGGTTAATCTCAGATTTCAACTTGATTATCTCTAGAATCACCTGGAAGATGGGCACCAGAGCATGCTTGTGGTAAATTAACTTGATTAGGTCACTTGAGATGAAAAGAGTTGGCCACTGTGAATACAGTACCTGGACTTGGACTGCATAGGAGAGGTTGAGCTATCTGGACACTAGCATTCATCGATCTCTGCTTCCTGATTATGGATGTAATGTTACCACCTGTGTCCAGCTTCTGTTACCTGCCATATGGTTTAACCTCAAACCAAAATAAACCATTTCTCCCTTAACTTATTTTTGTCATGGTGTTTTATCACAGCATTAGTAAAAAACTTAATAAAAGTAACTCTACTGAACCCATAAAATAACTAGTGAAGCAATTTTTTTCTATTTTATATAGGCAGTAAATGAGGTACATAAATACCAAATAAATAATTTGCCCAAAATCATATCAATCTAGCCCAAGGCAACACTTTCGTTTGAGGATGGGTTTGTCTGAGTTCATAACCCATGTTCCCAGCCAGCACATTTTTCTGTTTCTTTTTAAAGGGAGTGTCCCATGATAATCTTGTAAATTTTTTCTTTCTTTCCATCCTTCCTTCTTTCTTTTTCTTTTTTTATTATTAAGAGATTTACTATTCATTTTACATACCAACCACAGATGTCCCTCTCCTCCCTCATTCCGCCCCCCAGCCTTCCCTGACAACCCACCTCCTCCAAGGCAGGGCCTCCCATGGGGAACCAACAGAGCCTGGTACATTCAGTTGAAGCAGGTCCAAGCCCCTCCCTCTGCACCAAGGCTGTGTAAGGTGTCCAACCATAGGCACTGGGCTCCAAAAGGCCTGCTCATGCACCAGGTACGGATCCTGATCCCACTGCCAGGGGCCCCTTAAGCAGGTCAAGCTAAACAATTGTCTTGCCTATGCAGAGGACCTAGTCCAGTCCCTGGGAGGCTACAGCTATTGGTCCACAGTTTATGAGTTCCCATTAGTTTGGATTGGTTGTCTCTGTAGATTTCTCCATCATGATCTTGATGCCCCTTACTCAGAGCATCTCTCTTCTCTCTCTTTGACTGGACTCCTGGAGCTCAGCTTGGTGCTTGGCTGTGGATCTCTGCATCTGCTTCTATCAGTTACTGGATGGAGGCTCTATGATGACTTATTGAGGTCTCAAAGGCTGGCTGGAGATTACTATCAAACATAAACCTGCACAGATCATCTTGCAGCTATTTTGTTAAGAAGCAAGGCTTGATGAAATGGTTCAACCAATAAAGATGCTTGCCACCACGCCTGACAGCCTGAGTTTGATCTCAGCTATTCTTGGTACTCTCCTGATGGAAGGAGAGAACTGATTTGGAGAAGTGGTCCTCAGATCTACACATATGTGCTGTAGCATACACATGTGCATACACATATACACACAAAGAACAAATAAACAAATAAATAAATTTTATTTTAAGAACCATCATGGCAGTGAGGTGTCGACTTCTACACAAAATTGAGTGAAGACAACAGTTATTACACAGATCCCACTTGTACACATCTGAACTGATTCAGCCACAGGGCCAACAAAGGTTGTTTTAGCTGGTGGCTCTTATATAGAAAGGTTATGTCTCTGCCCTTTCCTTTTAAATTTGAACCTTTTGTTTACTAACCTGGTCGGTTGTAAACATTTATGAATCTTAAAATATGTTGTCTTATGAATCAGGTCTCTGCCATAGGAGATTACAACCTTTTTATTGCCCATTTAAAGCTCTTGAAGATTTGTTTCTTCAAAACCTATTCCATTTACCAGAAGATGCAGGTTTTAAGTCAAAGGAAGCAGTTATAAAATCGATGATTGCAGAACACAAAACTTCCTCTTTAATTCAGTATTTGGGAGCTCATTCACTTCTTTGATAGTCATCTAAAACTTCACAATACACAAAAGCATCCACCTTCTTTGATTAGCCCACCACTGGCTTTAATGAAGCCAGCCCTTTGATCTAAGGTCTTGTCTTTTCCTAATGAAACTCAATGGGAGAGTCACCTCAGATCTTAAAATCACAACTTCCAAAAACTTTATCATAAAGTACATTATTAAGAAGTGTTTTGTACATAATCACAAAATTGGGGTAATAAAAACAAATATTTATGTTTCTCGGTGCAAAAATTTTAAAGGAAGGATAATTACACCATCTACAATTTAATAGAATAATGAAGTGGCATTGATTGCACTGTTTTTGTTTTCTTTTAAAAAAGGCACTCATCAAGTACTACACCAAAGCCTATGTTTACCTATCAACATAATAATACCTTTCACTTACATGACCACTTGTAGTTACAAAGTTCTTTTGAATTTACTACATTGTTGGGTGAAATCATTTTGATACATAAAATTATGTACCACATATAGCCATCTGACTACCTTCTTGTCTTATAATTCAAGGCAGATATAATTTAGGGGCAGTGTGCTGATATAAAAATAACAACTAAGGGATGTTTGGAGTGGGAAGAAATTGTCTTTCCCAGGGAAGAACACACCAACTGGTTGTCTAATACTGAGTGGTCATCCATAAAAACATACATACAAGTAGCATTATATAAACTGAGCAGATTATATTTAGAAATATATATGTATACACATGTACATATATACAAGTAACAATTAATGACAAGAGAAAGCCATGAATTTGACATAGAACAAGGAGGGGAATACAGGATAGTTTGGAAGGAGGAAAGGGAGGGTGGGTGATGTGAGTATAATCTAAAAAAGAAAAGAAATAATAAAAATGAATATATATATATATATATATATACATATATATAATTTGTTAGGCAAGTTATAAAAAAAAATGCACATTGATGACGTTGGCATCATTCCAGAGACACAGGGATGGATATAAATACCTACACACATACATACATACATAAACACGTACAGTCCTAAAGGGATTTTAGATAAAGGAATAAAAACAGATGAAAACAATTTTATTGCATTATGGTCAGATAGGATGCATGGAATTAGTTCAAGTTTCATGTTCTTATTGAGACTGATTTATGACCAATGTGTGGTCTATTTTATAAAAATTTCCATGGGCTGCTGAACAGAACGTGTAGTCTTTGGTGTTTGGGAACAATATTCTGTCAATATCTGTTAGGTTCTTTTGATATATGGAATTAAATGAAAATATAACACAACAAAATTTCTGGAATACATTAAAAACAGTCATAGAGGAAAATACACAGTTCTAAATGCCAATATTAAAAATCAGAAAGAATACAAATAAATGACTTAACAATGTAACTGAAGAGTCTCAGAAATAAAGAATAAATCAAACTCAAATGTGGTAAACAGAAATAATAAAAATCAGAGCAGAAATTAATGAAATAGAAACAACAATAACAACAAAAATACAAAGAATCAACAAATGTAGGGTTTTTTGTTTGTTTGTTTGTTTGTTTGTTTTGTTTTGAAAAGAATAACAAGATCAACAGACCACCCTTGGTACAGTTAACAAACAAAAGGAGAAAAGTTCCAGATAAAAAGACTCAGAGATGAACAGGGAAACAACATAACATCCACCAAAGAAATTCAAATCATTATAGGGAAAGACTTTAGCCTATATTTTATGAAGATAGAAAGTATAAAAAAATGGATTAGTTACCAGATTCATCTGAACCACCAAATTTAAACAAAGAAGAAATCAACAACTTAAACCACCTCACAGCAAACAAGGGGATCAAAACAGTAATAAGAAGCTTCCAGATTTAAAGAAGACCAGGCACAGATAAATTTAAATCAGAATTCTACCAGACATTAAAAGAAGAGCCACAACTAGTACTTCTTAAATTACTCAAAAACAGAAACATGGAGTTCTCCTCCAAACACATTCTAGGAACTGTTTTTATTCTAGTTCCAAGGCTAAAATACCAGATAAAGATACAACAACAAAAAGAGAAAATTCTAAGCTAACATACTTGATGAATATAGATGCAAAAATTTTGAGGCAAATTTTTTGAGACAAATACAAAAAAAAGATCATCCGTATTGATCAAGTTGGCATCATTCCAGAGATACAGGGATGGTTCAATACACATAAGTAAATGAACACAGTAAACCATATAAACAGTCTTAATGACAAACATTGCCAGCTCATCTCAATAGATGTTGAAAAGCCCTTTGACAAAATCCAACATGCCTCTATCATAAAATTCCTAGAGAGAATAAAACTAGAGGAAACATGTCTCAACACAATAAAGGCTATTACAGACCCATAATCAACATCATCCTAAAATGGAGAAAATCTTGAAGCAATCCCATTAAAACAAGAACCAAAACAGGGCTGTTTACTATGACCGTTTCTTTACATTTTAATGCTGGAAGCACTATCAAGAGCAATAAAACAAGATAGTGAAATTATAGGATGCAAATAGAAAAAGAAAAAGTATGATAATACCCATTTGCAGCTGATAGAATACATAAGAGATTTTTTAAAAATCCACAAGAAAACTAAAAATGATCAACATTTTAAGCAAGGTGGCAAGACATAAAATCAACATTAAAAAAAAGTAGGCTTTCTGTATAACAATAGCAGATATTCTGAGAAAAAAGTCATGAAAGCACTCCCATTCACATTAACAACAACAATCTAAGAATTAGCCTAAGCAAGGAGGTGAAAGACCTCTACATTGAAAATGTTATATCTCTGATAAAAGAAACTAAGGAAGACACTAGAACATGGAAAGAAGTTCCATGCTTATGAATTAGTAGAATGAATATTGTGAAAGTGACCATCTTACCAAAAGTAAATTAATAAATTCAATATAATCTCAATGATAATCCTTATGATATTCATTTCAGAAAAAGAAAAAAATCCTAAAATCCACATGGAGGTACAAAAGACCCCAGACTGCTAAAGCAATTCTGAGCAAAATGAACAATACTGGAGGAATTACCGTTTCAGATTTCAAGCTATATTAGAGAGTCATAGTATTAAAAACAACATAGTATTGGTACAAAAACACACATAGAACAATGGAACAAAATAGAAGACCTAAACATGACTGTCAAATATTTGGTAATGATGCCAAAAATGCATACTAGAGGAAAGATAGCATTTTAAATAAATTGGTGCTGGGAAAACAGTGTGTCCATATGTGGAATAACTAAATTGCTCATGTCTATAACCTTTCAAAACAGCTATCTCTAAATGGATCAAATATCTTGATGTTAACCTGAAACCAAAATAAGTAAATGAATAAGCTTACTTCTGAATGGATGTGTCTTGATCACCCTTAAACTCTGGCTTCTACATAGGCAATATAATATGTAAGTGCTGAGTGGATGAAAGAATTCATGAATTAATGAATGGGCAACATGCCAAGCCTGGTTCATTGCCAATATCTTAATC